ATGGCTACAGATTGCTTCCTACAGTAAATCCTATCCACAGAGATCGTGATCCTTGCTGATTCTAACACCCACCACGCCGGATGGCTCGGTTCACGTTTAACCGATTGTACAGGGAAATCTATTTATGACTTTGGCTTGGCATATGGTCTTATACAGCTGGTTACTTTGCCTACGCAGATTCCAGATTTTGAGGATCATGCACCTCCCCTGTTGGAACTTGTCTGACCTCTTATCCCGACAGATATCAGGTTTCCGTGGATGTCCCTCTAGGCTCGTCGGACCATTGTCTTGTCCGGAGTGAGATGCCACTCACGCTGAAATCGCGGTTGCATTCTGCAGGATGCCGCCATGTTTTGGTACTATAAGTTGACCGATTTGGATAATATGTGGTCTTTTTTTGCATCCTATGTACTCTCGGCGGTGGGTTTGCTTTTCCCCGGACGATCCCAGCTTTGTTGCTGATTCTGTCGCTGACGTGGTACTTCGGTGTATGGAACTTTTTATTCCATCCTCTGTGAAGCCCATCGGAGGCAGATCCCAGCCATGGTTTGGTAGCTCCTGTAAAATAGCATCACGCCATAGGAAGAGTGCTACTGGGCCACGTCTCGGGATGTAAACACCAACGCTTATAAAAGAAGTATAACTACCGCTCCAGGTCATTCAAAAGAGTCATTGCCAAGGCAAGATCTGAACACATCGGCAGAATTGACGACAAGCTAGTTCGCCTTCTTTCCTTATGTACGGGGCATTGTGGTTTCTTGCCAAGGCTGTCCAAGGAACTTTTGTCAGCCATCTATTTCATCTCTGCACAGAGAGGACGACTCTCTGGCGTTGTAGCATACAAAGGAGAAAGCCGATTTGTTAGACTCTCTCTTTGCGTCGAAATCCCGCGGTGTGAGTGCTCTATGCAGGATATGCGGTTTACACAGCGCTCGGTTCGCAAAGCGTTCCCCTTCCTGGACGTCAGCAAGTTGAGTGGGCCTGATGGAGTCCTTACCATTGTGCTGAAGACATTTGCTCCGGAATTGACACCGGTTTTTAAGCATTTTCTCCACTATTCCTACTCCCAAGGCGTAGTTCCGAATTCATGGAAGATCCACGCTTTCGTCCACCCGAACCCTAAAAAAGGTGACCGCTCAGACCCGTCCAACTACAAGACTATCGCTATTACCTCCTAGTTCTCCAAATAATGGAGTCCATTATAAACTGACCACCAATATGGTTTTATTCGTGGTCGATCAGCTGGTGATCTTCTCGTCTACCTGATTCATAGATAGGCGGAGGCAGTATAATCTAAGGGGGAGGCATTGGCCATTAGTTTGGACATAGCGAAGGCCTTCGAGCGGGACCGACACAAAGTACTTCGTTTGAAGCTCCCAACTTATGGGCTTCTTGAGAAATTGTGTAACCGGATCACCAGTTTCCTTGTTGATCGGAGCATCAAGGTCGTACTAGATGGTGCTTGCCCCGACTACAAACCTATTAACATTAGTGTTCCACAAGGCTGCGTGCTACCACGAACGCTGTTCCTTCTGCATATCATTGATATGTTGACGGAAACCGTACTGGTGGCCATTAATAAGCTGGTGACTCTTAAGGTACCTCATAATCTGGCAGTTTATAATGGATTCCTTTATTTTGGAAAACAAGGAGGTGATAGCGATAGGCCTGTTCTGGTTCTGAGCAGTCGCTTTTTTTAGGGATTGGGTGGACCAAAGCTGTCTTCCGTGATTTCGGAACTACGCTTGCGGAATAGGAGTAACTCATTAAAACCGGTGCCAACTCCGGAGCACACGTCTTCAGCGCAATAGGAGGGACACCATCAGGTCCACTTGACTTGTTGGCGTCCAGGGAGTGCTCTGCGCTCCGAGCGCTGTGTAAACAGCACATCTTGCATGGAGCACTCACATTATGTTACAATTAAGTACACAAACAAATTAGAAATATAATTAAGATTAGGAATATAATTTCCCAAGGGTTATTATCATCCATAAATTCCTTAATATTATAATAACCCTTTTTATACAAACTTAGTTTAAGGGGATATAGAAAGTCAGCTCAAATTCTAATTTCACCCCCACTTCCCCACGCGGCGTATGTTATGTACCAACATGTTTGTAATCACGAATATTGAAAGTAGATAGGTCGTTAGATACTTATTTCAGTAGGTTTATCATATTTATGCATGCTTCTCTTATTTCGCCAACCCAGTCGCTTCTTATTTTTATTACGGTTATTTCCCATTTTAATTTTACTTCGTCCTGTTGCGTAATGTGTATTCTAATTGTAAGCGACACAACTCCTCCCTTCGAAAGCCGAAGCAAGACTGATGGAGACTGATCGGGCGGCAGAAAACAAGCTTTAAGACGCCGATAGATTAGGTAATTTCTTTTTACAGTGCAAATAAAAAAAAAATAAAAAACATAAGCCCTGCTTTATAATTAGTTCAGATAGTATGCAAAGTTTCATGATCTAATTTAAAGTATTTTATGAATACCAGCGGTTTATATTTTAGTTTGGAGGTAACTTTGGATTTTTTTTCTATTAAGAAAATGTTACGGAATCGTGTTTTCGTCTAACATAGTACTTAAGATTAACCCTCAACTTTACCATATATTTATTTTATAATGAATGCTGCAATATTTTCGGTATAACGGAGGATCTTGCTTAAGCCATTTGAGGTAGTATTTTTATTATTTCCCCTTAATAAGTTTTTAATTTTGTGTGTTATCTCTTTATGTATATATCCAGATTTTAAGTTAATAGGCGTATTGAAGCACTAACTTTATAGAATATGACGTGACCATCGGATCCGGTCTATGCAACTGTGCAATCAGCGCTAGTTAGTTGTCGTCTCCCTTATCTATCCACGTCTTGCTTCCTATAATTTTGTAAGATCAGGCTTTGGCTCTGGGGAAAGGCGTTTTGAACAGGTTGCTAGAATTATTAAATACACAGTATATACAGTTTTTGCTTGCTCTAATCGTTGCATTAAAATTATTTTTTGTGTATTATTGGTTTGTTAAAAGTTGTTGAGACTGCAATTTATAAGTAAAATCGTCTACTTAACAAATGCTTATGCTATATGTATATATATCTTTCCTTCCTAAGACCTAAAACCGTGGAGATCTGATGAAAACTCGCATTCTCAAAATTGGACCGAAATCTATAACTTCCTACTTTTGAAAATTATTAATTTTCAAAGCGGGAAGTTAAAAAGGCTAAAATACTTTAACACGATGACTCTTGAGCGAAGAAGAGAATTGTTAGATTTAATATTTTTAAATAAATAATAATATAATAATATAGTGGTCCTTCACTGCTGGCCGTATGAGGACGCTCAAAGTCGCTCAGCGAGCCATGGAGAGGGCTATGCTCGGAGTTTCTCTGCGTGATAAACTTAGAAATGAGGATATCAGCAGTAGAACCAGAGTGACCGACATAGCCCAACAGATTAGTAAGCTGAAGTGGCAATGGGCCGGCCATATAGCTCGAAGAACCGACAACCGTTGGGGAAAAAAGGTTCTCGAGTGGCAGCCTCGTACCGGTAGGTGAGGTGTAGGGCGACCCTCCACTAGATGGAGTGACGACCTGGTAAGACATGCAGGAAGTCGATGGATGCAGGTGGCTCTGGACCGTGCTTTGTGACATACCTTGGGGGAGGCCTATGTTCAGCAGTGGACTTGTAAATGGCTGTAATGATGATGATGATGATGATATAAATAACTAAGAAATAAGTTACACTTCCCCAGTTTACTGAGTAAAATTAATTTCCGACTACTACCACGCAGACCGGAGTAAAAGCAGTACGCTACTCCGGTCGTGTCTCCACGCACCGGAACAGTCTTCGTTTATTTAAAATATATAATAAATTCAGTCAGTTAATTGACATCAACATTAATTCACCTGACACTTTATTCGTAAACTAATTATTAACAACCTAGTCTGCCAGTCATCCCAAGCCTGATAGGCTACTTTCTCATTTTAGTTAAAACGTATATTTTAATTTAGCTTCATTTATTATATATTAAGTTGAGTTAGGTTAGATTGCAATTTCAATTAAGACACTAATAATTATATTTAGACTGTAAATTGATAAGATTTTGCAGGCTTTTACCAAATTACACTTGTACTTTTTTGTTTGTTTCTTGTTTTCATTTGTTTTAGTAATACTAGCAAAAAAAACATATAGTGTTTACTTTAAATGATTTTACATACTCTGTGCATGTAATGGGGACTCCTGACGCAGGTTTTATTTTTTTAAATTTACTAGGAGGACCAACCTACTATATTGTTTTAGTTTGTAATCTTAAAGATATAAAGCAATTTATTTATTTATTTATAATAATAATAATTTATTTGACTCTCAAATTGACAGATTACACTTATGTATTATATATCTATTTTAATTTACTATATCTATTTAAATCTATTTATATCTATTTTAATGTAGCATCGCTGGTAGACCCAATAAATAAATAAGGATTAGAAACGGTATCAAAAAAGAAATGGCAGTGGAAAAGCGTTTCGCTTTTACGCTGTTAGTTGCTGACTTATTTCCAGCATTGAAGAAGTATTTAAATGACCAAATAATTTGTCTATGTAAAGTCTATGTAAAATTTGCGTGAAACGCCTCGAAGACGCAGGAAGAAGGACTTAAAAATAATACATAATAATATTTGTAATTTATATATATTTATACACATGTCCCAACCAAACGAGAATACTATAAAATATCCCAAATAATTCCTGTAATAATGTACGCCCATTAGTCTCCGAACTCCCAAGATATTTATTGTCGTTATAACTCTCCAACAATCGGGAACAATATCGCAAACGCGGGTGAGCGCTATGAGAAATAGATCAAAAGCTTTATAACCTCATCTGTAACTGTCGCAGGCACTTTATTGTGGTGTGGGCCCAGCTGTTGTCGTACGTCGATGTATCCAGCCGTCCCGTTCCAACTGAGCTTGAGTTAAATTGTGTATTTTTCATTTCAGATCTATCCACGTGCTGTAACAAAGCCGAGGGCACCTGTCGAAGTGTATGCGAAAAGGTACGTACAAGATTTAAATATTGAATTATAATGATTTTGTATAAAATGGATTACTGCTGCTGTATACATCCTAAAATTCGTACCAAGTACCTATCCTGAGGGGGACACTTTAGTGATCCGTAACACAGGTTGCCGCCTAATATAGACACCAGGCTTTTTGCCCATAGTCTACATTTGTTTATAAATTTACCTTTGTTAACCTAAATTGTGTGAGTAAATAAAATATTAATAATTTAAAAAAAAAACTACTGACGCGTTGCGTTTTTCACAAGTACAAGTAGGTGAGGTGGGTACCGGTACATCTAAATACTTATATTTATCCTTGATTAAGAACTAGAATGCGACTGTACTGCCATCTCAGGATACTAAAAAAAGTCTCATTATCATTAAAAATGGTCTACGGTTTTAAATACTCACATGCAACACAATGCCATTGTGTCGCATGTGAGTGTTACTGCACTGCTAAATGCTACTACACTGGTGTCCTATGAAAGCGTGGCTAAAACAATGAGTTGCCAATATTAAATATTTTACAATTATGTAATTTTAAAATTGCGTTGTCAGAGCAGCGGACGTTCGCTACAAGTACCTACACTACCGAATGAAGTTGGCTTCATTATGAATAGTACATTTTATTAAAGGTATGTATTTTCCACTGCAGCTAGGGGACGTTATACGTTATAATGTGTTAAACGTTAAGAGGGTAGAAGGGCTGCATTTTTTCCATACAAATGTATTCCACTATTTTCTTCCTGGATAATGCCTCTAGAGTAATCGTTTTTGTTTTTAAAAAATTATTGAAGGCATGCCTCTGTCATTTACTTTTTTTTCAAAAAAATTATTACAAAAATAAATATGACTTTCCAAAAACCTAAAAAAAAATGCCCCATTTACACCTCTGTAATCAGACGATTACCAAAGAAATTTGAAAAGTTTTTAAGCAACTGATAGAAGCTATTCTCATATCTATTCTTCCTTTAAATTTTGATACCAAAAATAATTTAATTGGCTTAGTTTTCAAAGAAAACAGGGAAATACGAATCGACGATCGGTCATGGTTTTTGTAGGTAAAATCGTTTTGAGCTGCAGTTGTCCCTATCGCACTCTTCGGGTGGAGACCAGAGGTGAGGGACGGCAATAGTTTCTTCAAATACCTATTTTTCAATTCCCGCGCAGACCGTCTACCCTCTTAAAACCGTAAAAGTAAGGTTACAGCCTTTTCACGCCCACTGGGCACCGGACTTCTTTCTCTTTTGAGAAAGTAATGGCCAATGCTGAAAATATGGACTGTTTATAAATGTAGGTATTATTAAAACTCAGCAACAGAAACAACAGCTTGTAAATGTCGCACCGCTCGACTCAGGCCTCCTGTTACGTCTGAGAAAGTTGAAGAAATTGTCTACTGCACTGTGCACTGCGTCGAATTCACATTTCTTCGAAAATAATTTTTATTTCTCTCAGATATCGACTTATAGTAATGTTTTTTTTCATAACCGAGCACGCGATAATTCAGCACTGAAAAGTGCAAAGAACAAGTGCAAGCCCGGTCTGTAAACTTTTACAAAATTTGACCAATTTTCTGTATGGTCCGTGTATTTTTATGTACATTGTAAGTCCTGGATTCGAATTTAAGCCGAATCTAATAAAACCTAATCTATCTAATAAAATCTAATAACAAAGTGTTTGAGATAGTAAAATCTTATGTGGTTACTTAGGTTTTCTTTCAAAGCAATAAATAAAGATCCTTTTGAAGACTTACTAAGTCATAAGCGATCACATGACAACATAACATCAACGTTATATCCTTACATTTCTTTCCTTTATTTACTTCTTACCAAAGATCAAAGAACAATATCATTCCGTTCTATGAAAAACTCAAAGAACTTTGAACCAAAGTACTCATATAATGACATGACTTTAGTGTGATGACCGTATGAACCGCAGCGTTTTATAAATAACACAGAAATGGCAGTTGACCGGAAGTAATAAATTGCCTTAATCAGACAATTTTGTATATTGGAATTTAAATTAATTGTAATAACAACAAGGATTTATTATTTAAATAGGATGTTATTGTATGAAAGAACACATTCGTTTTGCGAACCGCTATTGATTGCATGTTGTAAACAATGATGTCTCTCTGACCAATTTACACAATAGTTGAAGTTACTTCTTGCGCAAGGGATATTTTTTTATAGAATTAGGTGTAGCAAAAAGCTCACAGCTTAACTCATGGCAAGTGGATACTGTGGTTCGTAGACACTTGCAACAGTTATAGATTAAAAATCAAAATACGAATGCATTGTAACTCCTGAGTACTGAGATGAAATGTATCGATTTCGTAAACAATGATGTCTCTCTGACCAATTTACACAATAGTTGAAGTTACTTCTTGCGCAAGGGATATTTTTTTATAGAATTAGGTGTAGCAAAAAAGCTCACAGCTTAACTCATGGCAAGTGGATACTGTGGTTCATAGACACTTGCAACAGTTATAGATTAAAAATCAAAATACGAATGCATTGTAACTCCTGAGTACTGAGATGAAATGTATCGATTTCGTAAACAATGATGTCTCTCTGACCAATTTACACAATAGTTGAAGTTACTTCTTGCGCAAGGGATATTTTTTTATAGAATTAGGTGTAGCAAAAAGCTCACAGCTTAACTCATGGCAAGTGGATACTGTGGTTCATAGACACTTGCAACAGTTATAGATTAAAAATCAAAATACGAATGCATTGTAACTCCTGAGTACTGAGATGAAATGTATCGATTTCGTAAACAATGATGTCTCTCTGACCAATTTACACAATAGTTGAAGTTACTTCTTGCGCAAGGGATATTTTTTTATAGAATTAGGTGTAGCAAAAAGCTCACAGCTTAACTTATGGCAAGTGGATACTGTAGTTCGTAGATACTTGCAACAGTCATAGATTAAAAATCAAAATACGAATGCATTGTAACTCCTGAGTACTGAGATGAAATGCATCGATTTCGTTGGTTCTGCTTGCGTTTTTCTGTGGTTCTTGCCTACCTCTGATTTTATCGCATAAGCATTACTGCCATGATCTACCATGGGCCCATGGGGCAGAACAAGAGAGTGCCTGTATGATAACAAAACTAGATGTGATATTATATTTTGTGTAGGTAAGGTAGAACGACTAAGGAAGATCCACACTCACATAGAATCATCACAATCATCACCATCATTATTATAGCCCTTCGAAAGTCTACTGCTGAAGATAAGTTTCCCCCAAGAAGTGCCACAAAATACGTTCCTGAGCTACCCGCACTTCACTCCAACTAATATTGTACGTCCTACACCCTGAACTTTGCTTACCGGTACGAGGCTGCCACTCGATAACCTTTCCTCCCCATCGGTTGTAGGTTACCATAAACAACAGCAGCGTTATTCTGTTTCTCACGGTGACAGTCGAGAAACGGAGGCCGTTTTAACCGGTTACAAGACATTCCACTTAGTCTTAGTTAATCGTTGATAGATGTATCTATGGGCCGGTGCATCTACATACTTACTGTTAGATTTACTGTGATCGTTTATCCCACTTCTATAAAAATATAATATTGTGTATGTAATATGTATTTGGGAGTCGAATATCGATACATATCATATTATGAACAATTCATACATTATTCCTCACAACGCATGGCCTCTAATCAAGAATCGCGTCACATTGAGGATAGTGTTCTCAGAACGCGCTTCGAGTGAATAAAGAGAAAATTATTAAAACGTGTAAGCGGAGACGAATGCGGCGAACTATACGTTTGTATTTAATTCCGTCTCGTTAGGGAGCGCTGCGTGACGGTCGCTTCCTCCATCGCGACACTCTTTGAATATTTTACAATCGAGTGGATCATTTGATGCTCGATTTAGTATCGATTATAATCGACACGTTGACAGACAAACACAGTTGATGAAGTAAATAAATGATCGGACGGAAGTCTGGTGGCATCTTAGTTTACAGTGCTACGTCAAATAAATTAGAACTATGCAACAGCGTGAGGCAAAGCATAGAGTTTGTGGTAAGATTTTCAAAACTAACGTGAACCTACGTGATAGTGCCACTACAGCTATATTATAGTTGTAGCACCAATGGATCGGCTGACCGGGGAGGGATCACGATCTCACAGAATACCAATGTAAAATAGCAGCTCAATGCTCGTATGGTGCGTGTAGAGAACCGGAGAAATTTTTTACTGGATACGATTTTTAATTCTTAATCGGGGATAGATTTAGATGTCTAATCCACGGCATCCATTTTATATCAAGTGGGTTCTGTACTCGCTCACTCTTATTCTATAAAAATCCCTAAAAATAGTAAAAGTCTTGGTTACGCAGTAACATTATTTAATCTGTGATATAGGTATGCAACTAATTTCAAAATTGTTTTTGTGTCTCAACCCTATATCATGCGGTTATTTTAAATACATTGTTCAAACGGGACAGAGACAATCTATGTTAACTGTCTCATTAAGCTCTCCGTTAAATCTATTAAAGTATTAGCATGTGAATAATTAATTGAATCGACGAAAACGCAAATATGTATAGTAAACAATCATTCTCATAATATATTGGTAGTTATAATACAGTAGTTTGTAATATTCCATAATCATCATTATTGCAGTCTGTAATAAATCTACTATTGATGTTGGGCCTCCGCTCAGGGTTGTCACAAAGCACCGTCTTAAATCACCAACATTTGTTGACATCCTGTTCCTGCACGTCTTATTAGATCAAGTCACTCAATGGTTGCCTACCACATAGGCTGTCACTTTGACACCTTTCCTCTCCATCTTTTGTTGGTTCTTTAGTATAAGTTTTACTATTGTCCCTTAAGCTTTTTATCCTTTGTACTATGATACTCGTTGATTGTACTATTTAATGTGATGAAATTTAACTATGATAAGATTTAATATATACATATAAAAATACGTGTGGCACTCGGTGACTGCCGCGGTAAAGCTATTGCATAGCATTT